CGCCAACCGTCGGCAATATCCAAAATATTGACATAAGCGGGTTCCTTCCAATGTGTCTCCTTGCATTTGGTTTACTGTAAATGAACGTGTCTGTCTTGCTTTAATAGATACAGGTAGTGAAGCCACCTTAATTCAGGAGAGCCTAGTAAAAACTTTGAATTTGCAACCCATCAAACCTTGTAAAGATAGATACCAGGGTGTTACGGGAGATGAGTTAAAAATTAAAGGTAAAGTAGTCATAACAGTACAAGTAACACCCCAGTTGCAAGTCAGACACCATGCTATTGTGGTGGATGATAAATACTTTAATGCAGAATTGCTATTCGGAGCAGATCTCCTTGGTAGATTTAGAGTAACCTGGGAACGTAAAAGGAAACTTTTCATTTGGGCAGGCCAGTCACATGAATATGGGAAAGTAGTAATGAGAGATCACATGCAAGGAATCAAATGCGTCAATAGATTGTCATTAAAGCCCGATGTACCTTGTCCACCACAGTTGAAGAGTCTCCATATTGATAGGAAGACTATTGTACGAGGCCACCATGCACCGATCTTATCCATCAAGGTGAAAAGATGTATCAACAGAGATATGTTTGTCCATGTAAATGACATCCAGGTTCCCCCTAATGATTCTTCCTCAGAATCAGAGCCTGATGAGAGAGATGCTATACGGGATGAGGAGAGAACAGTAGTTGCTCCTGCTCCCCGATTTCCCGTAAGGATGAGAAAACCAGTGGTGAGACTGGATCTTTAAAAGCAGTGAGCTTTTAAGTGACCCCCATTGGTTGATAATGAAGTGCACAATCAGTTATAAGTAACTGTGGAAAAGGGATAGGTAAAGAACTGATGATTTTTTTTTATTAAAAGTATTTTGCAGAGGAAGGGTCAATTTGCAGTAAAGACAGAGATTGGAAGATGTATTGGCAGTTATGCAATCATCTGAAGGGTATCTGTTACTAGTATGAGTAAAGATACCAGTGGTGAATTCTCAAGTTCTGGTTGGTAAGTCCTACGTAGGCTGGGTGTTGTTGGTATATAGGTGTAGAGTTCGTGACTTTCAGGGAGTATTCGGGCATATAAATATGGTGCTATTACTTCTACATGGCAAATGCCATAAGTACAGACAGTTTTTGGTTTGGTGGTGTTCTCATGAGGACCGTTTCGTTAGCATTGAATTCTTGGGAATACCCGCTCGTTCGGAGTCCCTTGAAGGGTGCTGCCTCTCGCGAGTGCGACATAACTCTTAAGATTAAGGGCAACAAATCATTCCTTTGACTTGATGGGGTCCGTTCGTCTATGTCCTAGCTTGAGAAATCTGTGTTAAATCTCTGTGTCCTGTCAGCATTTGACCAATCGCGTAAAAGAAACTTTCATAATCTATGAACATTGAAATTTGAGTTCTGTAAGGAAATTTTGAGTGTGCATTTTATCTACCGATGTGAGGGTGTATTTTGTAACATGTAACACCATTTATTATTATTATTATTGGATATGAGGTATCTAACTCAAATCATTATTATTCTATGATGATGTACTTGACCCCATTTATTATTATATGATATGATGTATGTAACACCATTTATTATTATATGATATGATGTATTTACCGCCATTCAGTATTATTATGACATGATGTACCTAACCCCATGTGCTATTATTTTTGGTGCTATTTTGTAATATGTATCCCAATATATTTTTTATGAAGGTGTGTCACATTCTAATTGTATGTTAACAGATTTCCATTTCTTGTACCTAATCCTGACCACCGGTAGGGAATTATTTTTCTATTTTTATTGATATAATTTGTGCAATGTTTTGTATGAGGATTTATACTTTATATTAATGATTTAATATGTATGTCACTACTTACGTGTTTTCTGAACGTTACCGCATAATGATGAATCTTGGGGAAGGAGGAAGCTTTGTAATGGTCATGATAAGAGCTAACCTGAAAACCTTAAGGATTCATATTACGCTCAAACGTCCACAAAACCTTCCGAGTCCCCCAGTGGAAACGTCCCCCGTTTTCTCTGTTTCCCCCGCCTTTGTCTATGGGAGCAGACGCTGTATGCTGGGACCTGTTGCCATCCATTCCTTTGTAATCAATTTAATTCTGCTTTCGATAGCTGAGTCAGAGCATTGTTAGTGAAGATAATAGTAGAGAATGAAAATGAGTTCATAGTCTCAATTTCAACGTCAGAGGGTACCGTAAATTAATTCATTGGAATAGGAGTAGCTGGACTCCCTGGTCTGGTTTGAGTGAGGGCACGCGGGCATTTTAACCGTTAGTAAGTGCCCGTCCCTTCATCCATACAGGTATGCCATTCCACGCTGTGTTGTAATTTGCCCTTCTTTAAGTGATTTGACCCAATTGATAGTTGATTGTGCAAGTGTTACAGTAACGTAGTTGATATGCTCTGAGTAAAGTCATATTTACGTCTTTAACGTCCCCTGAAACGTGTTGTTGTTGTCACCAGTTAGTAAGTGCCCGTCCCTTCATCCATACAGGTCCCTAACGCAGCCTAGGCCGTGTCTGTAGGGTGGATGTTGTATCCACTATGTCTGGGGACATGTCCGAGGTCCAGTAGGATCAGTTACCTTCGTGAGACCCGGCCGTCAGACACTTCAGACCACCTATAGCCCCCATAGCTGGCTCGTCTGGCCCTAACGCTCGGTCCACGAGGTGACCCTGGACCACCAAGCCACACACCACTACCAGCCCCCATCATTGGTGGATGAATGTCTACCTCAGTAGGGCTATATTTGTGTGGTGGAATTAACCCACTGGGATCTCCAGAGTTCGTCGGATAGTACTCCATGGTGGCTGGACCCCATGGCTGTTGCTTGAGTATCACTCCTGACGACTGAGTGTTGTAGTGGCAGTTGCTCTAATATGTATGGTGCTAAGTGACTATCCTAGTTGTGCTATTGAGTATGTCCACCCAGTAGGGTTGGAAGGGTATTGAATATGTCCACCCAGTAATGGTGTGAGTATGTTGAGCCTGAGGGCCTAGTAATAGATTTCGTCTGTTAGTACAAACCAATTTTTTCTTCTAATTTCATATTCATGTTTAAATAAACTTTGTATCTGTATAATTGTGTATATTATTTACCTACAGTATCTACCGTTATTTCTTCCCTATTGCTTGATACTATCATTACACCTACCCACGAGCCTCCTATCGTCACGCTACCAATGGTGATATATAAGAGTAAAAGGAATTGTTACTGGCACACAGGCCCTCATGAAGGGTGGCAGTAGCAGCCCTCATAAATGGTGGCAGCTCAAGCCCTCATATCATCACCAGAGACGAAGCCTCTTTACCTGGGCATAAACCCATGAAAGACCGTCTCACTCTATTGCTTGGTGCCAATGCTTCAGGGGATTTCCGACTGAAGCCTATGCTTGTCTACCACTCTGAAAACCCCAGGGTGTTCAAGCAACAGAAAGTGGTAAGAGCAAGGCTTGGAGTTTATTGGAAGTCCAACCGAAAGGTATGGGTGACAAGACAGCTCTTTAATGAATGGGCCGTTGAGGTGTTTTGCCCTTCTGTCAAGAGCTACCTAACCACCAATAAACTCCCTTTAAAGGCTCTTCTCCTCATGGATAATGCTACTGGTCATGACCCTGAACTTGTCAGAACTTTGGAGTATCAATTTGACTTTGTGAAAGTGTTGTTTTTGCCTCCCAACACTACATTAATCATACAGCCAATGGACCAGAAGAAAATGTTTAGGAGGTGTCATCGGGCAACTTCCAATGATCCTTAACTAACACTGAAACAGTTCTGGAAGACACAATTCAACATCCTGGAGGCTGTAAAATTGATTGTGTCATCATGGCAAGAAGTCTCCACTAGATCCCTCAATTCTTCCTGGAAAGCACTGTGGCCATCAGTAGTCCATGATTTTGAGGGATTTCAGGATGACACAGAGTTGGACCAGGAGATTGTGTCCATTGGTCAGTCATTGGGCCTTGAAGTGGAAGAGGATGATGTGGAAGAGCTTGTAATGTCTCATGAGGAGGAACTTACTCCTAAAGACTTGCAGCAACCTGGATGAGATGTTAGAGGCTGACAATGGTGAGGAGGAAAGGGAAAGTGATGACCATATGTCAACTTCAGAGTTGAAAGATGTTATTTACTACTGGGAGAAGTTCAGGGAACTGGCTTCAAGGCACCCAGATGTGGAAAAAACTGAACGAACTTTGTGTCATGTTGAGGACACAATGATCTCCTTCTTTAAACATAAGTTAATAATGAAGAGGAGAGATGCCCCACAGACCACAATTGACACTTTCTTCAGTAAAAGGCAGAGGGAACAAGATGCTAGCCCTCAGCCTTCCACTTCAAGAAGGAGAGAGGATGATGCTAGCCTTCAGCCTTCCACTTCAAGAAGGAGAGAGGATGTTCATGGTGGAGAATCTGTCAGTCCAGAGGTTCCTGACATTTTCATGGAAGGTGACTCAGCTTCCAAGAAACAGTAAAATGCTTCTCCTCCACCTCCACTTCCTTCTCTTCTCCCTTCTCCTCCTCCACCTCCCACTTCAAATTCACATCAGCATCATCATCCAGGAGCCTTCTACATACACACCTCAAAGTAAGTGTACTTTACTACCTTTTTTGTTGAATTTAGGCAATTTTCGGTGAGCTGGAACCAATTACCCAAAAACCCATTGAAACAATTGTTTTGGTTAACGAGATTTTCGGTTAACGAGCAACCAGCTGGAACGAATTGTGCTCGTTAACCGAGGGACCACTGTATATGTATGTTGAGTTGTCAAAGTAAGAGAAACAATTGAGACCCTGCAATTGTGTGTAAATGAGGCAGAAATTCAAATCAGCAACCTGGGACTTGGTCACAATTTTTGTGATGCCATATAGCAGCAGGGTCCACCATTAGACAACACATTTATGCTTCCAATATCTTCCCAGCTTAGTTTTCCAATTAAAAAAAATCATTGCTATACTTCTCTAAACGTTGTAATAACTCATACTAACCATAAATTTCATTGTAGCTGGCATGATACGTCTCAGCAGGCCAGTAGCCAGCAATGGGTACGTGTCTCTTAACAGTGCGTGTTTTCCTGCCATGTCCTTAGATGCTATGTCCTGCACTCCTGCTACCTAAAGGAACAGTTTGTGAAACATAATTAAGTTTTAATCAAAATGTTATTGTGTTTACACTGAAACCTTAAAGGAAAACTTCATTTATACACTCTAGACAACTAAACTTATCCAAAAACTTATAAAATTACATGACACTTTTCAAGTGGTAAATGTTCTTCATTGAAGCTTAATACAATATACATTATTTGTCAGCAAAATTATACATAGTTCAATATTTACTATAAGTCTGCCTTACAACTATTGAGAGAGAGATATACTGTATATTGCTTCAATAGCTGTTAACTGTCATTTGCAATACCTACTGTACTGAACAAATATATAGTCAGAGAAGAAATGGCAGAAAAATAAAGTCAAGAGTCAAAACCCAATATGAATTCATATAAAAATCTGTCAACATTATTTTGATTACAATTAGAGTATTTAAAAGGTGTTTAATGACTAACAAATGTAATAGGTAATAGGTATACCTGAAGGAAGGCATGGAGCCAGCTGGTACTTGCAGCCTTGGGCACCTTACACCAGGTGAGGCTGTGCTCCTTGTCAACAAACATTTGATGAAACGTTGTCCTGCAGAATGAGCAACTACTATTAGTCTCATTAGTCTCCTCTGGAAAGATCTCACAACATTTAAACAGTCAGTTAATATGAAAATAACAATAAAATTCATGGAAAATTCCTTGACCATATCTTGGCAACAGTGACCTGGTTACCCCATGACAGACATATGAAAATGTTTGAGATACAAAGTCTATACTGTAACAACCACATTTAAAAAAGGAAGAGAGTGATCCTGGAATATCACACTAACAACAACTGTGAGCTTGAAAATGACAAGATCCAATGGGAGGAAACTCTTGCCTGAGCATCCAAGGAAATGGACCCAGAGAAACAATGCTGATTTCCCAGGTACTGTACTGGACTGGACTGGACTAAGCAAAAAGAAAGTAAGTTTAACAACTGCATATTCAGATAAGCTAGAGACCCCCTGGGAACACCCGATGCTGTCAGCACCCAACTGAAACATCCCATTTTGTCTATGCCCACTGTGTCTACTCCCACTCTTGAAATGGCTATTTCCAATTGGTCAATAATTGATAGTAGATATTCTGACATGTTCAGAGTAAACCAAAATGGAGTTGACGAAATAGGAGTAGACAAAGTGGACATAAACCAAATAAGCATCTGAGGCTTTGTTGGTTATCCTTAGTCAAATTGCCTCAATAGATATTGTTATTACTTCACTGTGGGGAATATTTGAGGAAGGTAAAACGAGTCACTGACGCCTGCACTAACATGACAGTCATGGTGAGTCCTTAGAGCCATTCTGAGAGCAAAGTTAAAGGTCCCCAAACTAGCAAGTAATTTCTGGTAAACTCCTAATATTAAATCTTCACTACTTTTTTCTTAACCTCATATTGACTTAACTTTTATTTAGTTGCCATAGTCTCTCAAGCTGTGACTGTGACAGATCTGGCCTATCTCTAATGATCTCATCTTTAATCTTGTTGTTTCCAATGAACTTCTGAGCAGTCTTGAGGAACTTGGCTTTGGTGGAGTAAGCGCCCCATGCTGCACACACTTCTTTTATACGAGCCTTCCGCTGTTGGTATTCCACCACCTGGATCTCCTCCATAGGTCGTAAACTCTGACAATACAAAATCAGAGAATTAATTTGTGGATAAGGATTTTGTCTAAATCTTCACATGCAAATACAGTAGTTATATTAATGGCTACTAAAGAGGCGGAAGGTTATAAAAAAATAAAATAAATAAATAAAAAATGTGGAGGATAAATGTAAGTAATAGAGAGCTGGAGTGTTAGGTGATGGAAGGGGTGAAAGATGAGGGCTAGGTGAGGCCTTACCACGGAGGTACAATAGTTCTACCTCCATGGGCCTTACTAACCATACAGTTGCCAGCAAACCGGTTATACAAGTTCTACCCCAACATGTTATTTATTACATGGACAGAGTTACGTAAGATGGCAGTCGTTTAGCACCATAATCTTCACATTAAAATTGTTACTGACGATATAAGAATACACATTTGATTGACTCGAGTTAAAGCACAAATAATAATACCCCAATCACTCAAATAAGACTAACACTATTTTAAGTAGATTCGTTCACTTAGCAACAAATAGAGGACAAACTTAAGATACGGACTAATTTACAAAGATTTTATTTGTATCTCCCAATTGGTGTTAAAGTGTATCTAGGGAAGGTGAAGTCCCAGTATACTCCACGAAGCTTCAATGACCCAAGGATTATGTAAAGTGTTGTGGTTGTTTGGTGAAGAGGGTTATGGTAATGGTTGTATAGTGGTTGTATGGTGAAGAGGGTTATGGTAATGGTTGTATAGTGGTTGTTTGGTGAAGAGGGTTATGGTAATGGTTGTATAGTGGTTGTATGGTGAAGAGGGTTATGGTAATGGTTGTATAGTGGTTGTTTGGTGAAGAGGGTAATGGTTGTATAGTGGTTGTATGGTGAAGAGGGTTATGGTGATGGTTGTATAGTGGTTGTATGGTGAAGAGGGTTATGGTGATGGTTGTATAGTGGTAGTTGTGGTTATCAATGGTTGTATGGTGGTAGTTGTAGTTATCAATGGTTGTATGGTGGTAGTTGTGGTTATCAATGGTTGTTTGGTGGTAGTTGTGGTTATCAATGGTTGTATGGTGGTAGTTGTGGTTATCAATGGTTGTATGGTGGTAGTTGTGGTTATCAATGGTTGTATGGTGGTAGTTGTGGTTATCAATGGTTGTATGGTGGTAGTTGTGGTTATCAATGGTTGTATGGTGGTAGTTGTGGTTATCAATGGTTGTTGGTGGTAGTTGTGGTTATCAATGGTTGTATGGTGGTAGTTGTATCAATGGTTGTATGGTGGTAGTTGTGGTTATCAATGGTTGTATGGTGGTAGTGTGGTTATCAATGGTTGTATGGTGGTAGTTTATCAATGGTTAGTCAATGGTTGTATGGTGGTAGTTGTGGTTATCAATGGTTGTATGGTGGTAGTTGTGGTTATCAATGGTTGTATGGTGGTAGTTGTGGTTATCAATGGTTGTTTGGTGGTAGTTGTGGTTATCAATGGTTGTATGGTGGTAGTTGTGGTTATCAATGGTTGTATGGTGGTAGTTGTGGTTATCAATGGTTGTATGGTGGTAGTTTGCGTTACCAATAAGGAGTATATGCTGCAGTGTTACCATATCCTTACGTAAAATGCAGACTAGATATGCAGGGTGATCTTGAACCTCTTGTGTTGGCAATACTGGCGGAGGAAGGGATGGCGAGGGGAGGGAGGCTAAAGGAGGGTGTTACGGAAGGAAGGAATGAAGAGCAGGGGGAGGGAGGGGCGTTAGGGAGGGGGAGGGGCGTTAAGGAGGGGGAGAGGGGGCGTGAGGGGAGGGGCGTTAGAGAGAGGGGAGGGGCGTTAGAGGGGGAGAGGCAGAAGGAAGAGGAGGGAAGGGAGAAGAATTAGGGAGGAATGAACAACAGTATGAGAGCGGTGGAGGCCAGGCAGTGAAGGAGAAGACGATGGAATTATGAGGGGATGGTGTAGAGGTGAGGGAGAAAGGGAGGGAGGGTACGGCGTGGAGGTGAGGGAGAAAGGGGAGGGAGGTGAGGTGAGTGGCGTGGAGGTGAGGGGAGAAGGAGGGAGGGAGGGCGGGAGGTGAGGGAGAAAGGAGGGGAGGGAGGCGGAGGTGAGGGGAGAAAGGGAGGAGGGAGTACGGCGTGGAGAGGTGAGGGAGAGAAAGGAGGGGAGTACGGCGTGGGTGGCGTGGAGGGAGGGAGAAAGGGAGGGAGGGAGTACGGCGTGGAGGTGAGGGAGAAAGGGAGGGAGGGAGGGAGTATGGCGTGGAGGTGAGGGAGAAAGGGAGGGAGGCACGGCGAGAGGTCAAGTACGTCAGACCTGTTCATTCCTACCGGTAAATTTTTCCGACAGGCAACGCGGGAACACACACACACACACACACCAGCCTGGCCCCTTCCCTCGGCATCATATCTGGACCACCGTTAAGTCTCTCTATAATTTACCGGGGATAAAGATAAGATCAGTAGACAACGCTGCTTGTTGTTGTTGGTGAGTCAGTAGCAGCTGCAGTGACCAAGACAAGGTAAGTCAACACGGTCCACCGGTTCCTTAAGTTCCTCTAAACGAAACATATGGACACGAAATTATCATCACCTGAGTCTATTTTACCTCATGATTATCTACATTAACGCTACCCAGGGTTAGTGAAGGGTAGGGTAAGTTAGGGTGTTTCATCTTCTCCGAGAATGGAATGTCCGACAAAAAGTATCCGGGAGTTTGGTCGTGCTGGTGAGACAGACTGACAAACACCACCACAATAATTCATCTTTGTTAGTAGTACTGTTACCGGGCAAATGTATTGGTAGGAGATATTTAAGAAAGATGACCTGAAGATTAGGCACCCCAGCTTTTTTAAAGAGATGGGTTAAACACACTAATCTAACCCCGCCAGGTAGCGTTAGGGGGTTTAATCACCACGGGAAATAAGCTAGGGTGTCTAACCTTCATGTTATTCTTAAGAACTAATAAGTTTTAAATTTAAGAGTTTAAAAATTACACCGGAAAGAAATAAAATTTTATGGACATTAAAAATAGTAAGCTTTAAAACCTACTGAACCGCAACAAACTGCAGTTTTTATAACTGCACCCAAGCGTTGACACTCTTCGGTGGTGACAGGTGGCAGCAGTGTGTACAGTAGTAAAACAGGAGGCAACACTAGTGACGGCAGGCAGCTAGTTCAGCCGTAATGAACTTCTTCATGAGATTTTGTATTACTCTCACAAAAACGATAATAAACGCTAGTTAAGGTCTCGGTAGATAATGAAACGTGTCTAAGTCCCGTTATAATGAGAAGGTTGGCCGGCCCCTAAGACTGGTCTCTTGTCCGTCACCACTCTAGGAGGCCACTCACTTCTGGTTGACTTATCCTAATGTCTGCTGAGGCCGAACATTATGGCGGACACTACTCTAAACGGTATGACGGCGTCGGTTCATCATCATACAAAAGTGCCAACCGTAATTTGTTATCGTTAGGGGTTGAATAACTTGAATAGGTCTCAAAATTTAGTAAACCTTTGATGTGTGTGTTATATGAGGTAACATTTTTCAGTGTTCGTGTCCATGTATACCTTGTGGACTAGTGTATAACTAACCTTGTTACACGCTTAAAGACCTTCGTTGTTGCAGCTCAGTAATAACATTATAATAATAACAACATTATGAGACATAAATAAAGAGAAGGAAACTCACAAAAAGAAACAAACGATAAACAAGAAGGAAAGAGAAGCAGGGAACAACGGCAACACGCAATCAAAGTTCATTTCCTTCACAGTCGAGTAACAGCAGCAGACGGACTACCACAAGACTTGGATTCTCGAAACACGAATATTTACCCCCACCTGATGAGAGTGAAAAACATGGTCACCAGAATACTAATAATACTTAAGAGGCTCGTTACCAGGTCGTGACAGCACCTAGCGTGAACTGTGCTAGACCACAACTGTTACGTGATCTGGTATGTTCAGGTGCTTGTGAAGAAACCAGTCCTTGTTAACAGCACAACAGGAAATTAACCGACTCCTCCTCCCTCCCTTCCCCCACGCCCTGCTGACAACTGGGTCAAGATACGAAAGTACACACACTAATCTGCACCGTGGCGTTTATTTGTCAAATTCTATAAACAGTTCTACCCACTTAAAATTTATTTACAGTTTCCTTATTGTCTTAACAACAAGTGTTATTTGGGGGTCGTTCGAATACGTAACGACCGAATAAAGTTTACACCTTTTGATATATATTTTAAGTATGCATTTCTATATAACTGTTCTTATATATCACTTCGCTTCCACTAGAGATGACTGAACCCCGTCATGCAGCACAGAGGTCAGGGGCGCCCCTGCACAGGTCAGCGTCTGGAGCAAAAAAAAAAAAAGTCTTGTTCTATCATCATAATATCCACCCGTGGTAACTAGTTTCTTGGGTCCAGACTCCGAGCGGCAGTGTGGCTTCAACCCTCGCTGGTGTAGGTTCAGAATTTTGTGTAGATGTTCTGGTTTATGCACTTTTTCAATCTTTCTTTATAACAATGTAAATTAAATCACACGAGATCAACTTTATAGGTTGGTTAAAATAAATATCCTGACCTTATATGACATCTCGAGAGGTCAGTGTAAGATTTATGGCACAATGGTGACGTTCGCTCACAGATGAACAACACAATCACGACCGGAGCTTAGTCATTATCCCCATGTCATGCAGGTGAATGTTCAACAGGTAGTCTAAAGATTAATTAAATGATTTAACAAAAGCGTTAGTGGTATAATTGACCCATCCCAAAGTCCATGCCACGTTGAAATCACTGCTTCTCCTCCGATCTTACTCTGACCTCAGATAACACTTCCATTGCTTGTTGGGTCACAATTATGTGAGGTCAAGATGCTATTGAAAAAGTCGGCCCAATGTCCGGGTACCACCGCCTGGGTGACCTAGTTTTGACTACCAGGTACATGCTTTTCGACGTGTGTGTGTGCCAGGTCACAAAACATCCCCACAGAACAGTATATGGCCTGGAAACACTTCGTACCATCACTCAGCGAGAAACGGTATACAATATGTATG